ACACATTTTACAGTCAGTATCAGATAAGAAACCCGTTTGAGAACTCCTAAAAGTTGAAAGATAGAACGGGTCTTCGGTGTAAACAACCACGGGCAACAGTTAGAAACAAGCTTGACACGTGTTTATAGATAGAGAATATTTGGGGATGGTAGGAATCGAACATAGAATAAATGTAAAGACGTAGACCCGACAAAATATTACGTACGTGACGTCTGCTTCAAGTAGACAGGCCTATTACCTGACAAGTTTTCACACCCTTCGCCTTAAAAATGTGTTTGTTTAAAATACGACTATACAGGTAAATAGACGGGTTACGTACATACGCGCCTCGCTTAACTTTATGGTCAATATGTGTATACTTGTTTAGCCACAACGGCTAATGAAAACAAGATTTGTATAAACCAAAATCAGGTGTTTAGTGTATGATATTTAACCACAAAACAAATTATTCGAGAGCCCGGCATGGCCAGGTGGTTATAACGCGAGTTCGAATCCCCGTCCCACCAAACGTGCTCGCCCTTTCAGCCGTGGGGGCGTTATAATTGTGACGGTCAATCCCACTATTCGTTGGTAAATGAGTAGCCCAAGAGTTGGCGGTGGGTGGTGATGACTAGGCCCCGTAGCCTTTCACTGATAAAGTAGGGACGGCTAGCGCAGATAGGCCTCGTGTAGCTTTGCGCGAAATTCAAACCAAACCAAATTATTTGAACCAAACACTCACTCGTACGTAGACGTTTAACGTGGTCGTGTGAAGATATGATAAATCTTATAACCTATTAAGATCATACCATAACCTGGTGACATATTCCAGTGTAAATTCAAACTCTAACCTGACGAACACAGCCCAATAGCCCAGTGTTTATTGAAATTATAACCCGATGAACATACGCCATTGTTAAAAAAAACAAAACTAAGTGTATAATACACAACTTGAATAACTAACCCCCCCTCTCCCAATCCCAAATTTAACACTTGCAAGATGGACATATATACGATAAAGCGTGTATCAAATTTCCTGCCAGTTAAATGGGAGAATTCCGATAATAATAATAATACACAATGGTAGTTAATGATATAATTTAACACAGCTACATCGGGGAAAACGCATACTTTTTCATGCCTCTCAAAAACACACACAGACCTCTGTTAAACGAGCGAAGGGTCTTTATTATCAGGAGGAACAAACTATAAATGTTTACCGTGAACGTTTAGTTTTCATATTCAGTGTTTTTTTATCTTTTAGCATGATAACTGAGAAATTCGGATATAGAAGAACCAACAGTCTGACGCAGTTGTATCGTGAGAACTATGATATGTGTACAAAGATATAATACCCGAAACGTTACTCTGGACTAGTGTGTGTTTGTGGATCGTCTGCTCGAAACATTTGAATGCATTTTAGTTGCAAGCCTCAAACAGCGTGTCTCTTTATGTATAGAAACGGTTATATTTTATGTTTAATACATCTCTTTATGTATAGAAACGGTTATATTTTATGTTTAATACATCTCTCTATGTATAGAAATGG